ATTGTAATAAGAGATCTTTGGTGGCGGTCATCAATAGTAAGTAAATAATTTGTTAATTTTTTATTTTGTATACTAGTTAGCTAATTATGATACTTTTTTAGGCACAAATGTTCTTAAGAGAATATATTGATAAGCTATTCGAGGAAACTTCAAAAGTTGCAAAAAAAGAGTTTGGGTTTATGATAATGCCCATTTTGCACTAGATAAAAAAGTACCGTCTAACGCATCAAGATGATCGCTTGCTGAATATAATAGATCAATGAAAACAGCTGTTGAAGAAGCATGCCGTCGAAGAACCAATTCTTCTACTAACCTTTCGGTAATAGCAATTGATGATAATGATTAAGAAAAGATCGATGATAACTAATTGGATAAACAAGCAAAAAGAATTTATTAAGAATATTATTGTAAGGATTTATTTTATAGTTGCTTAGCACGGATATTAATCGGTAGTGAAATTTGTATTAGTATGCATAATGGCATAAATAATTATATTAAATTATAAATAGTAATTTACCTTTCTGTTATAAAATCAATAAATTTATGTCAATCAGGTACAGATATTAAGTAATATTAACAATCAGATACCTATCAGTTGATATTAAATAATGTTAATCAATTAAATTTACTTCACTCAGATATCCGTCTGATTGTTTAACAATTTATAAAATGAATTAAATATGTATATATTTTTTGTGCAATTATATATTAATTGGTATAACAAACAATTAAAAAAATGCTAAATCAGATTATATTATTTAATGCCAATTTGGTGGTCAAATTGCATCCTGATTGATGATTTAATAATTTCCTATTTGAGCCATAAATTTGCATCAATAGGTTACCAATCTATAATTCAAAAAGCTATCAATCTACATCATATCAGTGATAAATAAGTTGGTCAATAGATACCTGATTAGTACCCGATTTGTCATTATTAGACCAGTGCGTATAGAGAATAATATTTTATACTTCTAGTTGTACTAATATTACTTCATTTACAAAAAATAAGAATATAATTGAATTTTGAATAAAAACACCAGATCCTTTATCTGATAGAAATAATTTAGCAAAACTTATGAATTAGGAATGTTATTAATAATGGAAAAGAAATCTCAATCTAATAGTGAAAGTGAAATATTTTGAAAAAGTTTATAAAAAGCTTTAGAAGTAAATAAAAGGAGAGTTAATAGAAAAGTTAGGATTCTTTCAATAATTGCTGAAAACTTTACATATAAAAAATTAAAAGAAAAGCTTAAGATAAAATCAAAAATTATATTTATTGAATTCATTATAAAATAAATATTAAAAAATCCAAATTTATTACATATAGATAGGAAATAATATAATTAATTCTGCACAAAAATATATAAGATCTAATAGATCAGAAGCGTCAAGTCTAATAAAGCTAAAAAGAGTTATTAAACAAAATGTCTGAAATTAAAAAAAAGCAATTTTTAATATTTTTTCAAAATTGAAGTATAGTCAAATTATGAAAAAAATTTGAAGAAACTTTTTCTAATGACATGAAAAAGACATTATTTATAGGCCAATTAGCAAATTGCAGTAATATTAAATATCAAAATGATATAGGTAAACTTTGTCTTATTTGTAATGAATATAGTTATACTTTAATTGAATCTTTAACAGCTATTATACATAATACATTTTTACAAAAAGATTAATTAGTAAGTAATTTTATTTTTGATAAATAAATTATTTTAGTTTGAAAATATTATAATTTACCTTTTATCAATATTTTTAGAATAGTATATTGCAAAAAATTGATATACAGAGGGTGGACAAAAATATCCGCACACTTTTTCACTCAATATAAAACTTATAATTTTTTTGCATTAACAATAAATGGTCAATTAATATTTTAT